ATAAAGTAAGAACTGGTTCTTGAAAGTTAATGAGATCTCTTCTGTAGCTCTTTTAAAAATTAGGAAAAATTCTTCACAGAATCAAGTACATTTTCACAAAGTGGATCTACCATTGGTAACAGAGTATAAGCAGCCAATGTGCAAACTCTCCTGGCCGAGCAGGCATGCCCAGGTCCTGAGACCTAAAAGCACAGCACAACAGGGCACGGCACAGCACAGCACAGGCAGCTGGTCTGCTCCTGTTTCCTCTTTATGATAAAGTGTATGTTCAGCTTTCTAAAGCCTGTGGGTCAGTGGTAGACACTTGTTTACCATGCCTAAGGCTCTGGTTGGAGTACCAACACTGACAAAGAAAGAAAGGCAGGAGGAGGGGCGGGAAGGAGCAAATGAGCAACTTAAGACACACATTAAATTCTAAAGCAATTTAAAATTAAAGTAACCCATACACAATTCATGGTCAAACATCTTGTTTGCCTTCAGAAGCTATCAAGTAAGATGACCTTGCAACAGATCTGCAGGGTTTGGGCTGTGCTCATCCTGTTCAAAGAACCAGGAATTGTCTTCAGGACAAGGAAACCTCAGACACCAAAAATGCCCAGAAGTGAAATGGTGTATTACGGTACCATAACAAGGCTGGGCATAGTGGCATGTGCCTTTAATTCCAGAACTGGGGAGGCAGAGGCAGGTGGATCTCTGTGAAATCAAGGCCAATCTGGTCCACACAGTGAGTTCCTGGCCAGCTGGGGCTACAGGGTAATAACCCTGTCTCAATCAATCAATCCAGAAAAACACCATAACAGCCACCCCATTTTGTCTATGACTGAAAGTTTAGACAGGAAAGTCCACCACATTAGACAACAGTGTTTCTGACCAGTACCAGGAACTGACACTCTTGAGTTGTATGGAGCTAACACAGTGGCATAAATCAAGATGAAGCCCGCTGAGATTTCCATTCATTCCAGGAACATGCTGGTCTAGTGAGCCTGGGCTTTCCTTTATGAGAAAACACACACAAAAGCTGCTGAAGGGTCCATGGCACAAGCTAGCTGGAACAGAGACAAGCACACTATCTGAGAGCACCTGGCTCTACAAAGCCAAGCAAGACCAGTTCTAAGGCTCAGGTAGGCCATCTCCAGAATCAGGATTGTAGCCCTGAGGCATCGCCTGCAGAACAGCAGTCCGGTGGCGTGGATGGAGGGCAGGACTGCCCAGCAGGCAATCAGTTTAAACCCAGTGCCTCTGCCACGTAGCTGGTAATCTCTAGCAAGTCACCTTGGCCTCCTCATCTAAGAAGCAGACAGTAATGCTTTGCCTTACAGGAAGGACACACAGCAGTGAATCAGGGTGATATGTGGTACATGCAGGGCAGCAACAGATATTCCATGTGGCTTCCTCTCAGCTATTCTCTCCCTAAGCATCTCCTCCATCCTAGAGGCCAGCAATGTGCACCTGCACATAGCCACTAGCGACATCATGACCTTCTAGGTTCAGGAACCACCTCTGATTCGACACTTAGTTAAATATCCAGTCCTGTGGGGTGTGGATTGTCATGGGGTAAAGCCCTCTCAACCAGCCTTAGACTGTAGAAGGCCTAGGGCTTTGCCTTACTTGTGGGCTAACAGCTACATGCTGCAGTTTGAAGGTTGCTGACAAAGGACACTCTCCTGGGTCTGAGACTGAACTTTTGTCATAATTGTGGCTACAGTATCCATGTCTGTGCCAGTTCAAGACCCGATGCCATCAACCACACACGTGGCATAGGCTACACCTCAGCTCAGGGAAGCCAAATCTGTCTACATTGGTAGTAGTCTGCCTGACCGAAGTTCTAGATAGAAGTATTATCTTCATTACAACGGTGCAAACAAACCCACCTTTGCTTTGGAGGGAGACGGTACCCCTGTTCACTCTACACACATCACTCAAAAGATAGCCAGAGCCAAGGAGGCCTGTTCCCCTGTTCCTAAGGCAGGAAAACACAGAAGAACCCCCATGCACTTGAGCTCATGCCTCGAAGTCTCAATGTTGTTAATGTGTCACGTGTCCCCTAAATGAACACTGATCCAACAGACTCCCAATAAAATTTCTAAAAGGAGCTGGGCGTGGTGGCACATGCCTTTAATCCCTGGCTGAGGCAGGCAGATCCCTGTGAGTTCAAGGCCAGCCTGGTCTACATAGTGAGTTCCAGGACAGCTAGGGCTACAGAGAGACCCTGTCTCAAAAAGACAAAAAAAGAAAAATTTCTAAAAGGATATTTTTTGGTGTTAAGTGCCAATTTATTTTCAAATTCCTATGGGAAAGCAAAGGGCTGAGAAACAGCCAAACAACCTGGACAAAAGAGCCCAGCTGGAGGGATCGTGCCACACAGACGGTGGACGGCTAAGGCACCATCAAGGTTCATTAGACTTAATGATACTGGCATGATGGAACGAAACTGGGTCAATGGAACATAACAGGGTCCAAAACTAGCCCCTCATATATGTCAGTTGATTTTCAACACCGCCTGGGAGGGAGGGAGGGAGGGCACTGAAGGAGTTTCCAAACAGAAAGTGCTGAGGCAGCTGGAAAGCATTACCAAAGCCTCTCGCCATACAGAAATACTAACTCAGAGCAATCATGTACATGGAGAGTGAAAACCACACCTCCCAGAAGAAAACAAAGCCTTTGTCACCTTGATTTAGACAATGGCTTTACACCAAAAGCAGAGTCCACAGAAGAAAAAGAACGGCAAACTACCGATGTCTAGACCTGCGCAGACACAAACACAAGCACAAACTGAAGACCACGCTGTCCGCAGAACAGTCACAAAGACTTCCAGCGCTCAGTAAACACAGAAGCCAATGCTTCTGAGATGGGAAAGTGCCCCAGAGACCATCAAAGCAGCAGAGACGAGGGGCAATGCCCACCACCACTAGCAGCAGTGAAAGCACAGTGTGGTGCGGGATGCATCAAGCTAATGGGATGCCCAGACCAGGCGTGCTGAGGACATGCAGCTCAAGTGCCGTGCCCTGCCTGCTTGCTTGCTGTGCGCTATGGGCACAGCCATCTCGGAAGGCGGTCTGGCAGTTTCATAAACTTTAAAATGTATCTACCACCTAGCCCAGCCACTCCATGCCTAGGATCTACCCAATAAGATGATGGCATCTCTCCATGCGAAACCCTGCACAGACAGACAGCTCAAGTGACTATCTGTAACCTCTCAGAGCTGCAGACACCCCGAATGTCCAAGAAAAGCAGCTAGATTAGGATGGCGATTGTGGTCCATCTGCATAATGACTAGTATGTAACAGTAAGAAGCAGTGAACGATAAATACACACCGTAATTGTCCTGAGTGACAAAAACAGGCAAAAAAGCACACAGACTGCAGGACTCATCTGTTGAAAGCTGCAGAAAATAAAAACCAGAGAATAGAAGAGAGTCGACTGGCAGGTGAGGAACAGGTGGGAGGGAGAGGTCACCAAGGGCACAAAGTCAAGTAACTTTGATGGTTGCCTGTCACTTTGGTGATTTTATGGGTAGATATTTATACTCAAACCCATCAGTTTTCCACTTAAAATATGCAGTCTATTGGACGTCAATTCTACCTCAATAAAACCCTTAGGAAAACAATAAGCAGTCACACCAAGAGGAGCTGAAGCTCAGAAACAGATTCTTCTGAATTATTTTTAAAAAATGAAAAATCCTTTCTTTGCTAGGAATATTTGAATGAAACGTATTCTTGTTAGTTTTTTAAATCATGGTAAAGGGGCGGGAGAGATGGCTCAGTGGTTAAGAGCGTGGGCTGCTCTTGTAGAGGATCCGAGTTCAGTTCCTAGCACCCACATGGCGGCTAATAACGTCTGTAACTCCAGTTCCAGGGGATCAAATGCCATCTTCTGACCTCCACAGGCATTGCACAACATGGGTATACTTAACACGCATGCAGGTAATACACTCATACACATAATATAAAAATAAGTAAATTTTTTTAAAATTTCTTAAAACAATCATGATAAGCCTGGTGTGGTGGGGTATACCTTTATTCCCGCACTCGGGAGGCAAAGGCAGGTGAATCTCTTTGAGACTGAGGCCAGCCTGGCCTACAGAGAAAATTGCAGGCCAGCTGTGGCTTGTGCTGGAGAGCTTTTAGTTGTCAACTTGACACACCTGGGTAGAGGGAGACTCACCTGGTAAATTGCCCCCATTAGACTGGTCTGTGACCATACCTGTGGGGCATCTTTTTTTTTTCATTATTACTGAGTGATGTGGGAGGGCCCAGCCCACTGTGGGTGGTGCCACCCTGAGCAGGTGGTCCTGTATTGTATAAGAAAGCAGGCTCAGCAGGGGCCAGGGAAGCAAGCCAGTAAGCAGTGTTACTCCATGGCCTGTGCTCCAGCTCCTGCCTCCAGGTTCCTGCCCTGAATTCCTACCCTGATGGACTGTGACCCAGGAGATGTAAGCCAAATGAACCCTTTCCTCTCCAAGTTGGTACTGGTTAGTGTATTTTGTCACTGCAATTGAAAACAAACTAGGGTTACAGGGAGACCCTTTCTCAAAAAAACAATTAATTAATTAATTAAAATTATGTTGAAACTGGGCCCAGACTTTAGATTAGGCTGACGGTGAAGGTGAACAGGAAGTAGTGGTGCTAAGTTTTCGTTTTTCTCTGCAGCTGTGAAGTCACGTCTATCGGTGCCCTCATGTCTGTCCTAGTCCTTTTTGCCCAGAGTTTGCATGATAGGACTTCTGTGCTCACTGCATTTCTGTTTCCTGGGAAGGAGCAGGTTGCTGCAGTTTTATGAAATAATCTTTGTGTCAAAGGTCCCAGAAAAATCACAACTAGACTGAAAATACCTGAGAACAAAAGAGAAACCACCAGCATACCAACCAGTTTCCTAGAGTGTGAGTCATCTTTAAAAGGAAACATCTCAAGATGATAGCTCCTGATTTCTAATACATCAGCACCTCCTCCTGCCACAGACGCAGAGCACATGACTATACAGGACACAGCCACACTCCTTACCACTCAGAAGCCACCACAGCAAAGGGATGAACCCAGGACTTTCACTGATATATTTCAAGCCTTTTGAATTGATGCTCACATTGTACAGGGACATCAGCATTAGCCTGAAATGCAAAAGAAAACAGTGTTGGCATGTTGGCCTATGTACATGAAATTTCTTTTTCTTTTCTTTTTTTTTTTTTTTTTTTTGGTTTTTTGGGTGGGGCCTCCCTGCCTGGGACAGGAGATTGTCCAGGCTTCCTTGACATTAAAAGACTTTATGCCTGGGGGCTGGAGAGATGGCTCAGGGGTTAAGAACACTGGTTGTTCTTGCAGTTGTTCTTGTGGGTTCGAATCCCAGCACCCACATGGCATCTAACAACTGTCCGTAACTCCAGTCCCAGGGGATCCGACAGCCTCTTCTGACCTCTGTGGACACTGCACAACACAGGTGCACTTACCTACATGCAGGCAATACACACATACACATAAAATAAAAATAATAAATAAAATTTTTTTTTAAAAAAAAGACTTTATGCCTGGTCTTGAGGAATGCCCACAAACACAGTGCTAACACAATGTGAGTTCATAACACAGACCACGGCACAAGTCATGAAAAGTCAAGACTGCAAAGAACAGCCAACACAAGCACAGCAACAGAGCTGACAAGACAAGTCAAGTATTCAGGTGTCAACCACGGAGGAGAAAACAAATATGCTGACTAGGTAAAAACTCTTCAAATAAATGAAAACATGAGCAAGAAGCTAGGATGACTATTTTTTAAATATGTATTTTACTGTTTATTTTATGTGTATGAGTGTTTTGCCTGCATGTATGTAAGTGCACCCATGTTGCGCAATGCCTGCAGAGATCAGAAGAGGGTGTCAGATACCCTGGAACTGGAGTTAGCATAGTTGTTAGCTGCCATGTGGGTGCTGGGAATTGAACCTGAGTCTCCTGCAAGAGCAGCCAGTGCTCCTAACCAGTGAGCCATCTCTCCAGCCCCAGGATTAATATTATGAATCACCATGCAAAAAAAAAGAACTTGGGTTGGAGAGATGTCTTAGTAAACTGTACGCAAGCATGAGGACCTGCGCTCAATCCCAAGCACACACATGAAAGGGAAAAGACCAGAGGGCAACAGAGGGAGACACCCAGCACCAATCTCTGGTCTCTATACACACATGTGCGCACATACAAATAGGTACACACACATACATATGCAAAAATCTTTAAGAGAACTTATAAAAATGAAATCTCTTGGGGCTGGAAAGACGACTCAGCAGCTAAGAGCACTGGCTGCTCTTGCAGGGAACCTGAGTCCACTGACTTTCAGTTCCCAGCACCCCCATCATATGTCAACTGTCTGCAACTCTAGCTTCAGGGGAACCAATGCCATCTTCTGATCTCCAAGGGCACTTGCACACATGTGTACATACCCACATAAGAGACAAAACACACACAATTTTAAAAACCAAAAAAAATAAAATCTTATCTGGATGGAGTGGCACATGCCTTTAATCTCAGCACTCAGGAGATAGGGGTAGATAGGCCTCCACAAGCCTGATCTATATAGTGAGGTATAGGCCAGTTAGGGATACAGGGAGAGCCTGTCTCAAAAAATAAAAATAAAACATAAGACTGAGACTCCTAGAGATGAGGAAATGTCCTTATGCACATCACAATCCAATTACAGAACACCAACAACAGAGAGCAAGCTTCCCAAGGTATCAGAGTAAAGATGCTGTCTACAAAAGAAATAGCCCACTGAAAGCTGGACTCTCAGTATCAAAGGTAACAGCCGGCTGGGCGTGTCACATGCCTTTAATCCCAGCACTTGGGAGGCAAAGGCAGGTGATCTCTGTGAGACCCAGGCCAGCCTCATCTACCAGTGAGTTCCAGGCTGGGCAGGGCTATACAGTACAACCGTGTCTCAAAAGGAGAGAGGGAAAAAAAAAAAGGTGGGAGTCAGGGTTTGAGAGGCAGCTCAGTGGGTAAAACACCTGCTGACCTGAGTTTGAATCTCTATAGCCCACGTGACACTGGACTCAGTAGTGATCCCAGCACTCCTACAGGAGGTGGGAGATGGAGACCAGAGAGTCTGAAAGCTTGCAGGCAGCTTGGCATGCACAGTAGAGAAATAGAGAAAGACCCTGTCCTCTGACATCTACATGTATATTGTAGCATGCACACCCACATTCACACATGTGAACACACACATACCACACACACAGACTTTTTTTTTTTTTGGTCTTTTTGAGACAGGGTCTCCCTAGCCCCAGCTGTCCTGGAACTCACTATGTAGACCAGGCTGGCCTTGAACTCAGAGAGATCCACCTGCCTCTGCCTCCCAAGTGCTGGGCTTAAAGGCGTGCGCCACCACGCCCAGCCACACATAGACTTTTTTTAAAAGGATGTCCACTTGTAGGCTGGCAAAGCTTACCATCCAAGGATACAGAGGAACCATAGCAACTCAGAATTAGAAATCATCAGAAATATTTTCAGTAAATAAGATAAAGAATACTGACAAAAAAATCTCAGATATTTTCCCACAAACCTGAACTACAAGAATTTGAAGGACAGACGTCAGAAAGAAGGACACTGACCTCAGAAGAATGCTCAGAGCTTCAAGAGAGAGAGCAAGGGGAGACAGCAAAGGTGGGGTGGTACAGAGAGACAGCAAAGGTGGGGTGCTATTTCCCTGCAAAGGGCGCTGTGACAGAGAAACAGCCAAGGGTGCTGTGGTTCAGAGAAGTAAATGCACGGGAAAGGAAACAGCACAGTAAAAGCAGTAATAACCATGTCTAATGTGACTAATTTTTCCAACAAAGCTAGGATACAGTCCATAAATGTACATGGTCCAGGATGTAAGAGTTAAATCATCCTAAGGCCTTTCTACTGTTAAGAGAAAGGTGCTTACCAAATACGTCAAAGCATGCTTTAAAGGGAGGCCAGTCACTGAAGCAGAGAAACAGAGGTAAACACCAATGCCCTGGGGAGAAAACTGCAGTCAGAAAAGAAAGGTACCAGAGAAGCCGGGTGTGGAACAAGGATAGAAAAGAGGGTGGAGGATTTTCTTTCTCTTAAGAATTCAAAATATCACACTAAGTAAAAATAAAACAAGATGGAAGGAATAAAATCACGAATTTCCATAGCAGCAAACGTTGAGAGTAGCCTGACGGAAAGGTGGACGTCGGGCTGGATTACACAGCCTAGCCACGTTCTGTTCTAAAGGATCACACCTGAAACACAAGTTCACAGAAAGGACAAAACTGAACAGCAGACAACACATCGGGCAGAAAAGTACGACAAAGAAAAGGCTGAGGCAACCCAAGGGAACGAGCTTGAAGATGACGGTGAGTGTGTGGGGCAGAACATCCAGTTTTTCAAGAAACAACCATTCTAAGCTTGCATACATCTAAAATTGTGTCTCATAATATAGAGGGGTCAGGAAATGGCTGGGTGGGCAACAGTACTTGCCACCAAACCTGAGTTCAATCCCAGGGACCCACAAGGTGGAAGGAGAGAACCGACTCCTACAAGTTTTCCTCTGACTCCATATTGATGGGCGCACACACACACACACTCATGCACACACAAACTGAAGATGAATGGGCTGTAGCAATAGGAAAGCAGCCTGCGTTGCAGTGAGCCTTCCCATTCATAAGCACAGATTCTGGACACCACAAAGGAACCCACTTAGGAGATCTGAAAGCAATACCCCCTTCCAAGAAGAGAATATTGTTTGATATAAAGAGAGAAACAATGTCAGAATTTAAGCAAACCCACAAGACATGTGGCTGAGAAGCAAAAGATAGGGGCCTGGGGTTCCCTGGGGTTCCCAGGGTACAGGAAAGAGGAAGTCCAAAAGGGAGGTCCCAGAGCAGAAGCACTGGCATGTGGGTAGCAAACCTGGGTGTGCAGCAGGCCTCAGAACTGCACATGTCCGAGCCAACACTGAAAAGCAGGTGGGGAGAGAGAGCTGAGAACTAGCGTGAGGCACAGACAGTGGCCTGCTAGGACAAGCATCAGCTCCTCAGGAACGCACAGCAGAGCCGAGAGTCCCTACAGCACTTCTTCTGCCAGCTAAAGTGCGGAGAGCTAAGTCTTTGCTTTGAGCCCAAATTTAAAAGGACTGTCCAAATGCTCTATGGACATATTTTTTAATATTGTAATTTAATGTTTTTAAAATCAAAATTAATGTAAAAATTCTATAAGACTACAACAAATTTCTAAGCAAAGACAGAATGGTACCAGCAAGATACTAAGACATACCAGAGCCAGAGAAAAGCGGGAATCTGTAACATGATCCAGTGCACTGAAAAGACACAGCGGGCTGAGAGGGGGCTCAATGGCTAGGGACACTGGCTGCTCTTGCAGAAGATCGGATTTGGTTCCCAGAACCCACCTGGCAGCTAACAACCATCCATAACTCCAGTTCCAGGAGAATTTGATGCCCTCTTCTGGCCTCCACTGGCATTGCATGCACATGGTTCATGCAGGCAAAACACTCAAAACACATCAAATTTTTAAAAAACAAAGAATCAAAAGGAAGTAACCCAACTAAAAGATGGGCTAAGGAGCTGAACAGAAAGTTCTCAAAAGAAGAAATAAAGATGGCTAAGAAGCATCTTAAAAGATGTTCAACATCACTAGTAATTAGGGAAATGCAAATTAAAACCACTTTAAGATTTCACCTTACCACAGTCAGACTGGCTAAGACCAAGAAAACAAATGACACCAAATGTTGGCGAGGATGTGGGGAAAGGGGAACACTCATCCACTGCTGGTGGGTCTGCCAACTTGTTCAACCCCCATGGAAAACAGTGTGAAGAACTCTTAAAAAACTACAAATGAACCTACTGTTTGACCAAGTTATACCACTCTTTTGATTTCAATGGAAATGCTTCAAGTTTTTCTCCTATTGCTGAGACACATGTACATCCATGTTTGTTGCTCTCTTTTTACAATAGCTGAGATGGAAACAACCTAACTGCCCCTCTATTGATGAGTGGATAATGAAAATGTGGTTCACTTATACAATGGAGTTTTACTCAGTAGTAAAAAAAAGATCAAATCATGAAATTTGCAGGTAAATGGATGGAACTCATATGTGGATCCTAGA